ACCCAACAGCGTTTCTCGTCTTAATGCCTGTGGGTGGATTTAAGGACTTTTGTAACCCTTTCTTGCACCATATGAGTATAGAAAGGAATTTTGTTCCTCAGACGAGTGTTTTTAGTGGCGTGGGAGTTGTGTTAAATGTGGTGTAAGGATTGGTGAAAGCAAAAGGAGCGTGAGCATCTGTTTTAAAACTTTGCTTAAAAAAATAAAGGGATATTTCTTGTACTACAACTTGGGGACAAACTAGTTTCTGAAAGAACTTGGGATGAAAATGAGAAGAAAATAGTATTTGTCTCTCTGAAAACCCTTTTCACTGCAAATCACAGTAAAAACTGTGCTGTGTCACCTCCTCCCCACTTCTTCCCTTGTAAGGTTAATGCCTATATGCTAGTACTGTCACTGGGTACAGCAGAGAGTGGCTTTCTGATGATGCTTCTGTGAAACCATCTCCTTGAAATCTGTATCCACAGCACAGAAAAAACATCTCAGGAAAACTATAGCATAGTTGGAGGAGTGATGCAATTTTCTGCCCATATCATGTTTATACAGCCCACATAATCTCGGGGCTGGGGTAGGGCTCTGGGATGTTGCTTTTATTATTATTTATTATTTTTAGCCAAGTACTGCAGAGATGCAAGGTATGTAGCAAGCCAGTGGTTAAGAGTCCAGAAAGAGCTTCAAAAAAATTCAACAATTAGACAAATTAGTAGCAAATTGGCCCATAAATGGATATCGAAGGGAATAGGACCTTTAAAACCTGTAATATCACAGCTGGGGTTGTCAGCAGTATGGACCACAGCTGGACCACTCTGGGAGGAGAGGACCACAAACACCAATCCAGCCTATGCAGACCCCTTAAATGCTGTCTCCTACCACTGCGGAGGCTCAAACTCCACCAAGTTACATTCTGCTTTTTTATTCGGCCTTCCTTTCAGGCCTTGAAAGGTAAAACTGTGGAGGAGATATCACCACCTCCTTTCCCATACCTCCACTAACCCGGACAAGGCGCCAGTCCAAGGGGTGAGCAGGGCTGTGCTGCCCATACAGTGGTGACCGTGGGACTGTGCTCATTTATGCTCTTCAGGGCTGAAGCCACCCTGCCACTGGCTGTGCACAATACAGGATTTAATTTGAAGGAGAAATGAAGAGGAAGGGTTATATTTGCAGAAGGCTGTAAAACTGTGCTGCCGGCAACCAGTCATTAGGGGAAGCTGCTTTACAAGGCTCCCATTTTTTATTGTTATAAATAACAATATTTAACTTTACAGAGCTTTATTGTTAGCTCTTCCAGCCCTATAACCAGGAACAGCCAGTAAACCAGAGTTGCTAAACCTCTTCATCCACCAGAATCTGCCTCTTCTGTTAGCTCTATCCTTTGCTTAGAACAAGGGGGGGTTTTCCTGTATTTGGTTTTTGTTTTGTTTTGTTTTGTTTTTAATAAATAATCTCATTAGAGAGAAGATAGGTCAGAGAAGCGCATCCTTTTACTACAGGTGTTACTGAATTCTGCGTCATGCTGAAATACCATCTCCCTCCATGTCATCTCTCTTTTGATCAGAGCATGAGGTCCAGATCCAGTCACAAGCCAGTTCAAAGTCAAGGGCTTGTCACATCCCATCTTTTCCAAGTCTGATCAATATATATTCAACTTCTCATACCCTCTTTTTTTTTTTTTTTTTTTTAAGGTTACAAGTATTAATTCAGGCATTTCTGAACCATGGAGCATCCACCAGTGGGGAGATGAATGTAGGAGGGACTGTGGTGTTGCTGCCTATTTATTTTGTGGGGCATCCTGATGCTCACACCCGTCTTCCAGGTGCCTTTGCCCTGTACTGGGGGCACAGGCGGCTTTTGCTTCTGCCCCCCTGTGACCACATTTACAGGTCAGGGCTATTTATCCACATTCCTGAGCTGCCCTTGGCACTAAATGATTATTTTGACTGCTCAAGTTGCCGGAGACATAACACGAGTTCAGGTTCTGGGGGCTGAATGATGCACAGGGCCAAAGGAAGACCAAAAATCTCTCCCTTAAAGAAGTGGAGTTTTAAATCTTAACAGACATGGGCTCATCTTGTCAACATTTTTTTTTTTCAAAGGGGTGTTACTAGATCCTATTTCTTGGTGCTTTACTTGAAGAACTCTGAAAGTTCAAACAGGGCAGAAATCAGAAGAGAACCTGACTTCACTCTGAGATGTGGTAAGAGGAAGGGGGGAACACACACCCCCCTCCCCACAAAAAAAAAGATTGCTAGCCATGGGGAGACAGATGCAACCTGTGCTTTGGATGTCCCTTATGCCTTGTGGCAGTGCTGACTTAAGCACCTCCTCTTGCTTAAGAAGGGCTGCAAAAAATGCTCTTTTTTTTTTTTTTTCTTCCCTCCAGACTCAGAAAGTGAAGAGTATCAAGGGATAAGAAACATAAAGTCATTTTTGGTTAATGCATGGACAAGTATGGAAATGGCCAAACTGCCTGAAACAGAAGAGGATGGAGAACTAACAGTGCATTAACAAGAATAAGAAATGGTACCCAAAGTTTTTCAGACCAAAATAATCACTTTATTAAGGTGTCAAGTGCCAGAGAGTGCTGGGTATCACCACAAGGCCATCCTGGTCTACAAGAACAGAGCTGGTGTGACAGTGATCATCTCCACATCTACCTGAACATGCCTGTGAGTAGGCAAGATTTGATATAACATGATTCTGAACTAAAAAGGTGTGTAATTGCTATTTAATGCACCATGAGCATATATATGACACTGCTTTCAAAGGTGTCAAAGCTGTGTTGGTCTGTCTGGGAAGGAGAGAGTGCTGTAACTGTGTGGAGAAAAAAACCTAAATCTAATGACACCATTATATATGTACTAGGGTTAAAATATGTCACCATTGATCACAGAATCATTCAGGTTGGAAAAGCCCTTTGGGATCATCGAGTCCAACCCTCAGCCTGACTCTACAAAGTTCTCCCCTACCCCACATCCCCCCACAGGTCATCCAAACGGCCCTTAAACCCCCCCAGGGATGGGGACTCCACCCCTCCCTGGGCAGCCTGTTCCACTCTCTGACCACTCTTTCTGGGAAACATTTTTTCCTAATGCCCAGTCTGACCCTCCCCTGTTGAAATTAAAGCCGTTCCCCCTTGTTCTGTCACTAATTCCCTGTGAGCAGAGCCCAGCCCCAGCCTCTCTGCAATGTCCTGTCAGGGAGCTGTAGAGTGATGAGGTCTCCCCTCAGCCTCCTCCTCCTCACACTAAACGGTCCCATGTTTGATCTGAACTTATTTAAATAGTCACTGATGCTTTCATTTATAGCTTCATTGCTCCAGTGCCATTGACTTTTACTGGGCATAACTGTAATTAGTAAGTATGTTATAAAACAGTAATCTTTTTAGCTATGTACTTAAAAAAAACACAAAAAACTTTTTAAATTTGTGATGACTTTCCTCAATGATTAAAGCACTAAACTCAAGCCTTTGAGTTACAAACTCTTTCAGGGCACTGCTTCAAACCCCAGCTCATGCTGCACCCCCGGTAAAGGCTGCTCCCAAGTGCAGACCCAGGATGCTGAGATTTAAACGTGCATCATCCAGCAACATCACCGCACAACATCGCTGCAGCCTGCGGATGGCCACTTAGCTTATGTCATCCACAGCTCTGGCCACAGACACGCTGGCTATAGCAGCCTTCCTTGGCAGCTGCAAAAATAATTTAACAGGCACAGACACCCTGATGTGTTCAGGTGGTTTAAGGAGCACCAGCGTTCTACCCTTTGGTTTGAGGCAGCTTTGGCTGTTCTCAGCCTGCCTGAATGCCACCAAGCCCCAGACTTGAGAAGAGCTGAAGGGGGATGATCCCTCACCCATGCAAGGGGAAGGCTCTTTTTAAAATTGTTTGCCTCCACATAGGGCTGTGTGCTCCCTCCTTTGCATTTTCTGTAGCTGTGGGCTTGCTTCAGCACCAGCTGGTACTTGCAGACTCCGGTGAGAGCTGCAGTTTGGGTTCGTATTCAGTAATGCTATGTACTAGTGCAGTCCCAGAGGTCCCTAAACAGGCAGTGTTAGCATTAGATGCACCAAACACTATCCAGCAGGTTTGATTTTCAAGCAAGATGTGGCCCTGCTGGAGCATCCCTGCAAACGGGACATGGCGCCCTCAGAGCCACCCAAGGATGTGCAGCTTTGCAGTCGGATTTGGACTTTGGGTACAAAGCCCTTTTGGGTTGTACAGGGAAGACTCCAGCATCGTTTTGCCTCGCAAACACCTTCCCTGGACTGCAGGGAGGCTGAGGGCAGCCTGCCAGGAAGGCACAGGACAGAGTTGCCAGCACTACACTTGCTGTCCACCAGCCCCATGCAGCATGACATGTCCTGCAGGCACATGTACCGCCCCCCCAGCTCTCGCTCCATGTGTGTACAACCACTTGTAATAGGTGGTCAGAATTAGAAGCTAAAGGGGATGAGAAAAAAACGTGTGCTTGCAGCTTTCCCTCCCTCCAAGCCAAACGGAAAGGGAGAAAACTCATAGCAACAGGCTGCAAAGTGAAGTGAAATTTAAATCTTTATTGTGCATGGAGCAAAAACTGCGCTGATGGATCTGTGCTCCTCAGCACCTGGCCCGTGGTCAGCCACATGCCTCTGGTGATCCTTTGCTCCCTCCTCACCCCACGGAAAACCCAGGCAGGAGGGTGTTTTGCTGCTGCCTGACCTTCCTGGAGCCCTGGCCACAGTGCCCACCCTTGGCCCCGCATCTGGCAGCCAGAGGGTATCGGTGGCTACCACGGCACACCGTAATTCCTAAAAAGAGCTGAATAAATAGCGACAACCAAATGGCCTTTCCCATAGAGTGATGGCGATGAGCCACCCTGCCCCCTCCTCTTTCTTTGGGCATTTCCAGCCTGGAGTGCATCTTCCCTCCCACGGTGCAGGGAGGGACCACAGTGGCCATGCGCAGGCAGGGACACGCAGGCAGGGACACGCAGTCAGAGATGCACAGGCAACTCAGGCTGATTTTTAAGGAACAGTTTATTCGCTCGCAAACAGATGGTCACATCCCTTTGACCTAGATTTAAAAACCCAGTGTGTACAAAGTCACAGTCACGGCTTGAAGAGCACATGGCAGCACCCTTGGAAAAAAATAAGTAATTAAAAGTCCCGGCGTTATGTACAGCTTAAGTGCCAGCTTGAGTATTCACAACACAGTAACGTACTGCAATTAGTTGCTTAAAAGTAGTTCCCTTGAGAAACAACCTTCTGCTCCAGCAGGGCCGGAGTCCATCCCGTGGTGCCCGGGGTCTGTCCGGCGAGGCTCAGTGCCGCTGGCAGGTGTGCAGGCGGGAGGCGTCGGCGGGGCCCTGCTCTCGCTGGAGGCGACACGCCAGCCCCTCGGCGCACTGGCACCGCTGGAAGATCTCCAGGCCGTGGGTGCCTTTCCGCCGGTGCCGGGTACACACCTGCCCTTCCCTCAGCACCGGCTTGCAGATTTTGGACCAGAAGTGACGGGCGCAGCACAGCCCGGCCACGCAGTCTGACGAGCGCAGGCAGAAGTCCCCCTCCTCACCTGTGTGGGGACAGCGTGGCGTGGGCTCAGGTCATGGGTGGTGGGGCAGGGTGGGCATCCCCCACGGGGGACAGGGTGGGCATCCCCCACAGGGGACAGGGTGGGCAGGGCATCCTGGACTGCCCCCAGGGGAAAAATGGGGCAGGGTGGACACCCCCACGGGGGACAGTGGGCTCAGAGCACTGGGGACCCCCTTACCTTTGGCAGTGGGGAGCCAGGCGGGAGCAGGCGTCCGTCTGGGCAGAGCCTCCGTGCCGATCTCGTCCAGCTCGGCAGCTCCGTGAGGAGGCTCTGGGGGGGTGCAGAGCCCTGCGGGAGGCAGCAGGGCGGTTGTCAGCTACAGGTGGGAC